TTGGGTCTTGGGTACGGCCCCCATACAGTAACAGTCTATAATAGGGCTACTATAAGGGCCTTATATATCTATATTATGAATATTATCCAACTGTTACTGAGTGGGGGCCGTACCCAATGCTCTGCTACAGAAGCATGTCTTGAGGGAAGTTCGGAAGCTCGGCGGCGAGAATGGTGGTGCCCTGATCTCAGGTGTGAGCCAGGGTTCAGGGTTTAGGGTTTTTAAAAAAAGGTTTTTTAAAAAACCTATGGTTTTTAAAAAAACTGGGCTTCCGCTACATATCGGCAGTCTTGTTCGTTATTCTGAGATTGAGTCCGTGCTGCCTATCACGCTTTGGCTTTGGAATTTCGAGATCTGTACGATGGTAGATAGGTGATTAGACCCTCAACTCTACACCTAGACCCCCCAAATACCCTCTAATAGAATTACCCCAAATACGTCTACTAAGGATCATAAGGACCCTATACCCCTACTAAGGATCATAAGGACCCTATACCCCTACTAAGGATCATAAGGACCCTAATACAAGGGCCCTATAGGCGGTCCGGTCCTGGCATGACCCGAAGATGGCGAGCCCAAGGTGGTGAAAGAGCGCATCGTCGACTACTCGCCCGTGGAGCGCTTCGTGCCCACTCTTCCCAGGAATCCTTTAAGGGAGGTACTTTGGGGTTTAGGGTTCCCGTTAAAGGAATCCTTTAAGGGTTCCTTTAAGGATTCCTGCAAGGGATCTATAGAGGGTTTCAGGGTTTTGGGAGTTTCCGAAAAGAGGGGTACCTTATTTGGGGTCCGTATAATAAGGATCCTGCTGTTTAGGGTACTATATTAGGGTACTTACCAAAAGGGTCCACAAATTAGGGTCCCCAAAACAATAATGGGGACGGTCTTTTGCGGCCTAATTCCATTCTGGTAGTATAAATGAGGTACTGAGGAGGACTCCGAAAAAAGCCAGGCAACCTGTGGGTCGTATAATGATTAGGCCCCATGTAAACCTTAATTATGTCTGCCGGGTCTTCGGGACTCGCACAAGAATGCAAGGAATGAGTGAGTTGGTGTGTTATTTCCAATCAGTAGAATAGGGCTTCGGCGAAAGTTCGATTGTTAATACAATGTGGAGCCGTAAAGAGTAAAGAGCAATGCTGGTCGTGGCGTGAGAGCCGTCTTAGCTTTCGCGCAGGTACGCGCGACTGCAATTGCCGCATTTGCTCGCGAGGCCGAACCCCCACCAGAGCAGAAGCTTACAGCTTGTAGGCGTATCGGGGGTTTACGGTGTATTCTTTTATTGCAATTCGTCAGGGTTCCAAGAGATACCTTGTTGGACATTGGACACGACTTGGAAAGGGAGCTAACCCTAACCTACCCAGGGGCCCCAAAGTAGTTCCTTTTTGGAGTTACCCTATAGGGTTCTATATATGAACCCCAAAAAGGAACCACTTTGGGGCCTTAGGGTAACCCTCTAGCCGATTATATTCATCTCGCGGGGGCCATCGCGTCAGGTCCATGTCTTGTCGAAACGCCGAGCCCCGAATCTTTTTTCTAAGGCAGTGTGCCTTTCTAGTTTCAAGCTCGGGGTGTAGTTGCATACACACTGGGAAACAGGAACGATTTCGTCTTTGTTACGCTTTGGTTTTGCTTCGAGACGCCCGCCAAAAGATGCTGGCATTGATTTCGTTTTCAGCATCCTTGTTCAAACTTAAACTTACACGAACCAGACTCGAACAATTGGTGGTACTTTAAGGCGGTTTAGGGCTTAGAACTCTACTTGGAGGATCATGGGACTTAGTAAGTATGGTTAAAAGTACCTTATTTGGGGTTATAAGTAGTTATAAGTATAGTTACCCTAGTTGTAACCCTAGTTACTAAGTCCCATGATCCTTTAAGTAGACCCTAAACCCTAAACCCTATAGATCCCTTTAAGGAACCCCTATAGATCACTTTTTGGGAACCCTTTAAGGAGCCCTAGTTACTAAGTCCCATGATCCTTTAAGTAGAATCCCTGCACTCCTTCCCAGGCCGCTCTCGCCTCCTCAAGGGAGCTCGAGAAGGTGGGAGGCTCTGAGGAACCGGAGGGCTGTAGGCCTCCAGGGTTTAGGGATTTAGGTTTTAGGGGTTTAGGGTTTAGGGGTATATGGGAGTTTCCGAAAATAGGAGACCCTAATATAGTACCCTAAATAGTAGGATCCTTATTATAATTATAAGAACCCCTAAATAAGGTACCCCTATTTTCGGAAACTCCCATATAGAGCTGCAGGGTTCGTAGAAGGTTTCGGGCTCTTGATGTTCACACGTTCAGGGTTGTAGGGTATAGTGGCTGGGTCGTAGACTTCGATATGAGAATTCCCCAAGAGCCTAGGACCTACAAATTTCGAGCCAACACCCCAGCCGTGGACGATCCTGTTCTTTGGGTTGCGGCCATATTGTCGGGGCCAAAATCTTCACAACAACTATGTTTTGGCATTCCTTATTGTGAAAACAGTATCATCTACCCCAAACCCTTTTCTAATAAATATTACAGCAGAATACTTTTCCTCTTATAAACCCTATCCTAAATATTAATGCATCTACATATGCCTTTGGGTGCCCTAGGGATCGAAATGCTGGGCCTTGGATGTGGGTGAAGCTGGCTTCTTGTCGAGGAACTTAGTTTCTTTACCGTACTTAATAAGGAAACCATTTGATTTACTATAGATCTCTAATACGCTAATTTAAAAAGTTAGTCAAGGTAGTAAGGAAACCAGTTGATCTACTATAGATCTTTATTACGCTAACTTCAACTAGGCTCCTTAACAAGAGCCCAGGAGATCTTCGGTTGGCAGGATTAGGAAGTTGGGTCGTCGGACAAAGCTGCGGATTGAGGAGATGATCAGTCGCCGAACGATTGAGTGATCACGGCATTCAGCTTCGCTTCTCTGCGTTTGTAGAACTGCATGATACATGCTGCAATGACGGTATATAGATAGAAATCTACTTGTGTATGTGTATATATATATATAGAGAGAACGCACCGGGGATGAAGACGGATCCTTGAGATCATCAGAACCGTATGCCGACTACGAGTTTGATCCCGACGCCTTAGCCACCCTCCAGTGTTACCGAGTCCTGGTAGATAAGAGACCCGAAGATAATATTTGGAATTAGTTTATGGTTTGGGAAAGTACCCACCCCCCCCCCCCAGAACAGTACCCGGGACCCTTTTGGAAACTACGCCCTGCCTTTGGCCTTATCCTCACGAGTGATGAAATCATTGAGCCACAAGAATGTGCTCCTGCACGACGATCTACCACAGTCGTACCTCCCATACTACGCTCTTGCTACTTTGAGGTCTCTTTGTCAGGACTGAAGAGTCTAAGTCGTACAGGTTTTCAGGGGCTCCTGGGGAACCCTAAACCCCAAACCCCTAAACCCTAAACCCCTAAACCATAAAACCCGAAACCCTAAACCCCAAAACCCTAAAACCCTAAACCCGAAACCTTCGATTCGACTTGTGGTTCGTGACTTAGGCAGATGAAAGCGGCTGGATCGGCCTCGCAGAGGAGTTTGGCCAAAGCCCCGGTGGAGACTTCCATAAAGGCCCGTGTATCTAGCAGATACTTTGGCTCTAAATAGGGGTTCCCAAAAAGTAACTCATGTGTGTAACGGTAGAAGGACCCTTGATCAGGGTTTAGACTGGCTTCTACGATGAAGCAAGAAGGCAATTGAATTGGGGATGCAGGTTTTGCCGTGCTGAGGAGAGTCGATCCGAGAGCCTCTTTGCGGAATCCTTCAGGGTGTAGGGGTTTAGGGATTGCCTTCGCCGCTGCCCTGAACTGAGCCCTACCGCTTGGGGATTACTTAAAGGATCATGGGACTTAGTAGCTCGGGTTATACTTGGGGTAACTATACTTATAACCAATTATAACCCCAATTAAGGTACTTATAACCTTACTTACTAAGTCCCATGATCCTCCCAAATAGACCTTAAGCCCTAAACCCTATACATCCCTTTAAGGAACCCTGTAGATTCCTTTACAGGAACCCTATAGATCCCTTTAAGGAGCTTGGGCATTAAGGTTTCCGGACCTGAAGCACGTTCAGCGGCCCAGGCCTGCACGACCTGCATCACGCCCTCAAGGCCCCGGCCTTCACGCATCCCTTTGGGTTGTTGTCAAAATTAGGGTCCCTTTTCTGGGGGACTAGAATTGGGTTCCTTTAAAAGGGCCTAGAAGGGATGTATAAGGGTACTATATTATAGTTGTCAAAATTACGGTCCCTTTTTGGGTACCCTAAGTAATAGGTGCCGTCGTATAATAGGGACCCCAAAAAGGGACCATGAGTTTGATCACCACCCATTTTGATCAGCAATGTCGAAGCCGGGGCTATAGTCTCCATGGTAGTTCCTTTGTTTGGTTTGGCCTCATTGATATCACAGGATCCCAACCGTAAAATTGGTTGACCAAAAGGGGAACTACAATGGAGACTATATAAGTAAAGGGTTTGTCATGCTATTCGCGAGGATTCCATATGCCATATTCTCAACCTTTACATGGTAGTACCTCTCAAGTCTTATGATTCAGCCTCAGCTCCCTATGCTAACTACCCAGCTTCGGACGTGATAGAAAAGGTACGGAGGTTCGAGCAGGGTGGTTTAATGCAAGACTTGGTGGATTGACACATAGGATTCTCTTTTTAGCAACAACAGTTTGACTTGACTTGTTTGGGCTTCCTTCGGCACAGGCCCGCATCTGTTTTGAGCTGGTCGGTCCCGAAAGCCCATGCAAGCCTTTCCCGAAGCAACCATGACCCGAAGCGCAAGACGCAAAGTCTCCAAAGCAGCTACACAAAGAAGAAGAAGAAGACCGAAGTGCTTGCCAATATCTATCTTAGAACACAGTCACTCGGAGGTAGAGCTGTGTCTGTAAGAGATGCGTCAGCGATCTTCTCCATCCCACAGCTCCACTTTGAACTGCAAGCCCTAAACCCTAAACCCTAAACCCTAAACCCTGAGCCCCGAAGCCTTGGGCCAGATGTGCAAACCCTGGGATTGGTTGGACCTCGTCCGCCAGCAGGCGGGTCTTAGGCTTCAAGGTTTGGGCTTCGGGTCTTAGGGTTCAAGGTTGGGGCTTCGGGTTTAGGGTGTAGGACCCGGATTTCGGACAAGAAATCTCATCTAGTTGTCCAGACGAAGTGAAGCGGTTCAGCACCGAAGACCCCAAAGCCCAGGAGATAAGAACTACACCTCCGCGCGCTTGTTGTCGCACAGAAGTGCATCGCTTGCAGTCTTGTGTATCTCAGTTTTGGACTTGTCAGAAATTACACATGAACGAAGCCAGTAATAGTAACAGTACGAAGAGTACTGATAACACCAGCCATCCGAATTTTGCTACGAGTAAAACTACCTAGACCCCCAAAAGAGGTAAAGTCATGAGGTAAAGTCATGGCCCAGAACCTATACAAGGCTATTATTCTACACACTTTTGGGATCCAGGTAATTGTAAGAAGTGGTTCCCAAAAGAGCCAGGGCGCAGAGGATATCGACCTCGCCTATGAGGCCATGGTGGAGGCGAGTTTAGGGTTTAGGGTTTAGGGTTTAACTCCGTTCCCTGGACACCCTGAGCCCTAAGCCTACAACCTCAGCACTTGCCAGGCCATTTTTTGAGCACCTGAAACCCTAAACCCTAGACCCTTAACCCGAAGCCCCAAATCCAAAGCTTTTAATCCCAGAACCCTGAAGCCAAGAAGGAAAACCTAAACTCGAAACTCTAAGCCCTAAAAGCCCCAAACTCTATAGACTCTGAACCCTGAATCCTACAAACCCTGAACCCTAAAGCTCAAAGCTCTAAAGTGAGCCCCAGACAGTTGGAACATGGATTCTTGTTGGGCTCCCGGATACTGTACTTTGAGGCGTGAATAAATCAATTTCCAACTTTCTGGTTTCTACTTTAAACCCTAAAAGCCAAAACCCTCAACCCTTGTAGATCCCTTAAGGAGCCCTTATAGACTTATAGATCCCTTACCTTAAGGGATCCCTTAAAGGAACCCGCCTGCTGTAAAGCCCAAGGCCTGGTGGGAGGAGCAGGTGCTCCCCGAGGTCGAGCGCGAGCGCTGCCTTGCGCTGGGTGGCGGCGCCTAGGTGCCGGGGGTTTAGGGGGTTTAGGGGTTTTAGGGTTTTTATGGTTTTTAGGGGTTTAGGACTTATAGGGGTTTAGGGTTTTGGGCTTTAGGGGTTCACGAATTAAGGGGATTAGAGGTTTAGGGCTTCGGAGCCTTCGAAAGGTGGAAGGAAGGTAGGTGGGACTTGGGATTCCTCAGAAAAGGGTTCTTACTTGGAATTGCTCCACCCGCAGCCGGTTGAGAGCTTGGCATTGACGAGTTTGAGTTGTAGGGTTCAGAGTCTACGGGCCCGGGAACTACAACTAGGGTTTAGGGTTTTCAGGTTGACTACAACTGGCTATAGGGTTTAGGGTTAGGGTTTAGGGTTAAATACAACTAGTTATAGGGTTTAGGGTTTAGGGGAACGAAGTTGTAGTTGTAGCTCTGTTGCTCTGCAGAAGCTTTAGGACAGTTGCAAGGTGTGCTGAGGAAGGCCCTTCCTTTCGAGACTTGGGGGGTTGGTTCTAGTTGGGAGTTTCCGAAAATAGGGGACCCTAATATAGTACCCGAAATAGTAGGATCTCATTTTTTCGGACCCGCAAACTAAGGTACCCCTAACTTTCGGAAACTCCCAGTTCAGCTCTCAGTCAGGGATTCGGCTTCGACACGGCTCATGCTTTGACATCATTGGCTTCCGCCACAATCACAGCCGGTAAACCCGAACCCGTTGCTAAGAACATCGACCATCTCTAGTGCTAGCTTGCAGCTCGAGCAACGATAGTTGACTGCATTTATGTGGGCGACAAGTGAGCTTGAGCTTTTAGCTAGCACCACCTTCGTCAAGATCAAGCAGCATGTGAAGCCCTGAGCCTAATGCTCCAGAGACTGGCCAGGTCCTCGTGCTTCTTGCCCTGAGTGACATGATGTGGATCCTTGATATTGTGGTGCTTGTCGAGGAAACTTAGATCATGTTGGCAGAGGCGGCAGGGGGCTTGTATGACAAGTGACTTGCGTTAACTATCAAAATCTCCGTCGAGATACCTACTGACTCTCAGATGTTTCACTGGTTTCACCACATTTCCCAAGTTGTTTGGGACATACACTGTGGCCTTCTGCGCACGGTGCTTTACACCATGTGTCAGTGACAGAAGCATTCACAGATACTGTTCGATGTTGCGTGGGTGTAGTTGAAGCCAAAGACAGACAACTGCTCCGATCATGTGACAGCAACTCTTGATGTGGCTTTGCAGGGCACGGGCATTCACGAGCATGTATACACCTTCGCAGAACTTCGAGTGAACATACGAAACATTCTCGGCAACGAGGTATGTCAGTGGAAGCGGGCAAGGCCACTGTCATCTTGCTTTCCACGCAACGTTGCAGTTGTCCTTGACATCGCCGCCTTCGTTACACGTTGCACATAACCGTGGCAGCAACCGGGAATTGATGGGGGCAACTCTTCTCGGACAGTCGTCAGCAGACGGACGTGTGGCATTGATATCGAGCCGGACAGTTGCAGGTTTCCCGATGTTCAGTCGCCATGGACTGCCGTGCTAAGGAAGGCATCAGTGTGCATGCCCAGCAGTGCACCTGAACTCCCAGACAAGCCAATCTCGTGAAGTCCAAAGCCCTCTCTCCGACTGTTGATACAGTAGAAGCCAGAAAGTTGGAACATCATTATCCTCATGCCCGTAAGGTAAAGTATAGGGAATCCCAGCGCGAATCATCCCAAACTCATGTTCCAACTTTCTGGGGTTCACTATAAGGGTGCCACAGGGGCCTTCTATTCCCTAAAGCCTGCGTTTCGGAGTTCTTTGTGCCTTTGGAGCTGCCAAGGAGCTATCTTGACTCGATCCCCAAGGGATCTATCGGACTTCCTCGCGCTGTATACATATTATCTGCAGAATAATGAATAAATAAATACAGCAGATAGAAAATACGTATGCGCAGCTTATTTGTTTATGTATATGCATCCTCTTGCTGACTGACGTCTAGGAGTCGGATCTTTGAGTTCCCTCTGTGGGCGTAGCGAGCATGAAGGCCGTACTGCAGAAGCCTGCGTCATTACGCATAGTATCCCTCCGGCTCATCCGGATTTGTTTGCCATAGTTGTTCTACAATACAAGTATACACCAAAGCCCTATTCTAATTGTGAAGGTCCCTCCATTATGCTTCCGAGGGCAGTGTAGATGAGCCATGCACGGCTGACTTCTACGCGTGAAATCAAGTCTTCCCTCGCAGGGCATGGTTTTCTGATCAGACCTGAATTAGTAGAATACCGTGGCCTACTTTCCTGCAGGGCCGCTATCAATTGTATCGTCTTGGGGTTTCTTTTCAAGTCCTTCCTTGACGCTGATTGTAGGTTGCGGCGATGTATAGTTTTCTGCAGAGGAGCTCCGGCTTTCAGATCCTCCGTTGGGGTTACCCCGGTGGTCGACCGGCCTCTGGTTCCCACACGACTCTTCGCAGGACGAGCTCGGACCCTCAAACGAAGCCTGAAACCCAAAGTCCTGTAAGCGCTTCAACCCTAAGCCCCCTAAACCAATGTCTTCCTGCTGGGAACCAGTAGCTCTTGACGGCGCAGCTCCTCCGGAAAAAGAAGTCCCAACATCGACGATGTCTGCTTCCTCGTGCGGCTTTGTGATTCTTGTCTGCCATCTCGGTCCTCACGACGGTGCTGCAACGTCTTTCCCCGTCTTTGCTGTACACGTAGACCTCAATGCTGCTAGAAAGTTCTGAACCCTAACCCTAAACCTTGAAGAGCGTTTATGACCAGAGCTGAACCGACAAAGTTTCCGACAAAGCCGAAAGCTGTACACATTAGCAGACCCTGAAGCCGATATCGCAAGGTGTTTCTTTAGAAGTCTTTAGGAGTTTGGGTTTAGTAAGGGTTCTGTATTTGACAAAAGGTCCCTTGAGCGTTGGCTGGCTTGGCTTCCCTTTGACGCGGCACTGTGCTCATGTCAAGAACCTTGCTGAAGAATCCAAGCCACTAGAGCACAGCTGTCGTCCGACTTGTACCGTTAGTCTTCGATGGCCCCCCCTGGGGATCAAAATAGCCCAGAAGCCTTGTATAGTATGGTATTTGAGCCCAAAAACCTTATAATGTGAGTCCTTAGATCCCTAGGGCCCTGTAAGAACGAAATGCTTGTTTTCTGAAAACCCTAGGGAGCCAGTTACCCAAACTGCAGATTACTAACCAAATTATGTAACCCAGTAGCTCTTCATTTAGGTAACTAAACCAACCCATGGACGTTTTATTTTATATTCATCGTTATTGTTATTATGATTATTATAATTATTATGGTGTTTATTCGTGTCTTCATTATTAAGGTCTTTATGATTAGTATTTGTGTATCAAGTAAATCCTATGTAATCGAATCACGTTGTGTTGAAGTAGCCACTAGACACCACGTAAACATTTGCGTCTTTCAGTACGCATTAGACATAGTAACATAGACACGTTGCACAAGACAACTTGTATGCTGTATGGAGCTGTAGTCAAAATCGCAGGCCCGTATTTCGACGCGTTCTATATATATATATATATATATATTATACTCGCTTCATTTTGCAGCTCTGGCTGAAATGGGCAAGGAGCTCCGAAGTCTGCAAAGTCAGGCTGAGTGAATGACGTAAGGCCAACGCTGAACGGAGAAGTTTGCAAAACATTTTCCGGAACCCACGCCTCAGACCCCCAAACGTCGGCACCGAGGATGGACCCCTAGTCCTTCCCCCTCGTGACTTGATGATTCTAGATCACCCTCGGGGCTTCAAGATTCAGGATTAGGGGGTTTAAGGTTTAGGGGTTTTAAGGATTAGGGTTTGGGGATCTCGGATGCCCAGGATCACGAGAGGGACGCTCAGGTCTAGCCCGATACTCACAAAGCCTCCTCACCCGACCCTCACCCTTCCGTCTTTCAGAGCAGAGGTAGGATGCCCTGCTCTTCAATAGCCAGCAGTCCCATGGAATCGGATAGGGATTTAAGGTTTCAAGTTTAGGGTTCATTTAAGCCTTGTCATGTTGCGCATGGCACGAGCACTTGCGCTTTCTGCTTGGGGGACTATGCTGCCCTGGAAGTTCGTGATCTTGATAGCCGTGAGCTCGGCGGGGAGAGAGGGCCGAATGGGACTTGTTGCATGAATTGGCTTTCCTCGCTAAGGCAGTAGCCTTCGAAAGGAATTTGTGGGCCCAAAGGTGGAGGGTGAGGGTTTGGAATTCAGGGCCGATGTGTCGGCATCCCAAAGGGTCCTAGGTACTGTTATGGGGGATACCTACTTTCGGAAACCACAGTAGCAATTCATTTTTGAAACACTACAGTCTACTATCTAGGCACACAGGACCCTTCGGGTATATGACGACTTGATGACAAAAGCACCGTACTTGCTAATGCGACCATGATCAAAGCAGCCTTCAGAATGATCGAACTGTCAGAAATGCTGAGAGCGGGTAGCACTCATCATCCTTCTGACAATTGCAATAGCAGAACCATTAAGTGCTGTCACCGCTATCATTGTTGAGCACGCCACGCAACTTCATGAACGAGGATCTACATCTGTCGCCCAAAGTATAGGAAGCTGTTAAGAAGCCTTGGCTCCCTATCAGGGTTCTCTAAATATGGATCCTAATATTTTGGGGGTATAGGACCAGGGTGCCTCAATCAGGTTACTACATTATGCCTTGCACCTCGGGAGGTAGAGATTATCTCTCATGCAGATCCAAAACTAGCCAGAACCTATCCAGCCTGCACGCAACCTCCTATGCCTGTACAAAAGAAACTTAACATGTTGGAGGAAAGCCCGGGGAGTTTTCGAGCATCCAGAAGCAACTCGAGGTTTGCGAAGTTAGGGTTTAAAGGGTTTAGGGTTTCATCGCCAATTCTGCGAAGTCGGCGCAAATCTACGATGATTCGGATCAGCTTGTGCTCTTGTCGCGGCCCATGTGTACTCTCAGGTCTGTCGAACAGGAATGGCAGCACTGACCAGCAGCGATGGTCCTTTCGATTGCGGCGATGAGCCGTACATGATGCACTTCTGGCTGCACAAGAAGGGTGAGGACTTCCAAAATGCACGGGCATTTAGCCACAGAGGATTCCGAACTTTGCAAAGTAAAGCCGCATGGAAGAGCAGTCTCCACCCAGAACCGACAAGCCGAAGAGAAGTCGAAGTGCAGCACGCTACGGTTGATGATATGAATCCTGCATTATCCATAGTAAGGAGTTTGCCATAATTCCCACATCCCTGAGGTTATGCAGGATTCATATGATCAACCGTAAGGCTGCGCACTCTCAAGTCCCATATCCGGCTCCCCCTGCCCAGGATGGAGGAAGTCCTTCACAACAACCTGGGCCACAAAGGTCCGCAGCATGGCTCATTCGGAAGAGAAAATATCGCTCCACGGTGGCTTTCGTGATTAAACTGGACTAAACTAAACTACTTGGAGGATCACGGGACGTAGTAAGGTTCCTTTCAGGGCTCCTTAAAGGGATCTACCGGGTTCCTTAACGGGATCTATAGGGTTTAGGGATTAGGGTCTACTTGGGAGGATCATGGGACTTAGAAAGCAAGACCTCTATTAGGGTTGTAAGTATAGTTACTCTAATTATAACCCTAGTTATTAAGTTCCATATGATCCTTTACGTTTTTACTATGACTTTCCTAAACTCTGCCAGACCGTATTGCACCGTATTATACTATACTACACTAGAGGGGACCCCCTGAGAATTAATTCCGAGGTACCCGTTGCCCCCCACCAGGACTGCACTTGGGAAGGCTGGCTTTCAATGCGGGGTGCTAGCCTGCAAGAGTACGCAGCAGGGTTTAGGGGTCGGGGATTATAGCTCAGACAGCGTCGTTACACAACCACAAGCAGTACTGTACAGACCCTCATGTAAGTAAGCTTCGAAACTTCCACCCCCTAGCCAGAACCCTCCGCCCACCGAGACCGTTGTCATCAGAGTCCTAAACATCCAAGATATCCTGACGTAGCACAGCCGAACCTCGTAGCCTGAAGCACCAACCCAACAGCTCCAAAGCAATCAGAATCCTAGTTCTTCAACCCCAAGCCGCAAACACTAGTTCCCCATCTGCTTCTTTGCATTCAAGGCACCAGGGTTCCGAGGGCATCCTCTACAAGGCAGGGATTCCTGAGCTCAGCATCACGGGCTTTTCCGAGATAGGTTCACTGACTGTGAGAAGGCCTAGATTGTCGATTACTGTTGCTAGAACCCGCTTGCTTCATATGCCTCATAGTGGCCGTAGCCCATTGACCGAATTAATTATTAGGTAGAATTTTAATCTTGAGCCATGCACTGGGACGGAAACCTCCACCGCGTTAAATAACATCAAGCTATCGTACATGCCAGAGGCTGTGGAGTACTACCGGAACATGCACCGTGACGTGCAAGTCCATCTCCACACGGACACGAGGGATCCGGGAGCTTTGGATTTAAGTGTTCCGGAGTTTGAGTTTGGGGTTCCCTTTTTGTTGTTAAAAAAGATTGAATTTAGGCTGGACGCCAATAATCTGCAGCATTGCAAGTGTCGAGAAGGCTGCATGTTCGAGTGCCCCAGCGAGTTTCGATAATATAGGGGCCTAAATAATTACCAATCTTTTTTGGGGGTTCCTGATTACAAGTGCAGTATAATGAGCTCCCAAACCGCATTCTAATTATTAAGGCCCCTACATTAGACATTGCCCAGAGCTCAGGGCAAGTTCTCACCATCGTCATGTCCCAATCCGACCTCCCTCACCCTAAACCCTAATACTGAACCCCCACCCTAAACCCTAGGCCCTAAACAAACCCTAGGCCCAAAACCCCAACCGTAACCCTACTCCGACCTCCCCCACCGCAAACCCAAACCCCAAACCCTAAACCCCAACCCTAAACTCTAAACCCTACTCCCACCTCCCTAAACCCTAAACCCTAAACCCCAACCCTAAATTCTAAACCCTACTCCCACCTCCCTAAACCCTAAACCCTAAACCCTAAACCCTAAACCCCAACCCTAAAACCCTACTCCCACCTCCCAAAAAACCCTAAAACCTTGAACCCTAGTCCGACCTCCCTCAGCCCCAGCAGACCTTTGTCCATAAACCCTGAACCGCTGCGATGCCGCGATGCCAGATGGGCTCTTTAGGGGGCCCTAAAACGGCAGGTTCCAATATGATTTCTTTACAGAAGTCCCTAAAAGGGTAGGTTATTTGGGGTTAAAGGTAGGGCAAGTTGTAGAAAGCTGGGCCTTAGTAGCGCGGGTTATAAGGTACTTTTCATTATAATGACCTAGAACTCCAAGTAAGCTACTAAAAACCGTACGAACTAAGTCCCCAGATCCTCCCAAATAGACCTAAACCCCTAAACCCTATACATCCCTTTAAGGAACCCTGTAGATCCCTTTACAGGAACCCATGCGGCCTTCAAAACCCGAGGCTCCTGTACATTTAAATGTGCAAGAGTGTTGAGGGATGGATTTGGGAAATGGGAGTCAAGAGCAGTTAGTAAACTCACGTCCAACTGTGGGTTTATATACATGCATGCGTATATATATATATATATGCATACGTAGATAGATAGATAGACCAATACACAGACAGACACAACCATATGTCTGAATCTTCATAGTGAGAGCAATGCGTATTCCATAAGTCGGGTGTGCTAATCTCGAGAAGCCGCGACTGGCATGGCAGACGCTATGCGACACCCGCAGGCGTAAAGCAACGAGAGACACGTCTTGGGGTTCAGCGTTCACAGACGGGGCCCCCGGGGGAAGTCATCCTATCGATCCTATACAATTAGGTCATTGGCCATGACATGGTCAATACACGCCTGCAGGACTCGCTCTACAACCCCTGGAATGTTTTCGCCAATGGCTTGAACGGCCGCTTCGGCGTTTTCAACCAGTGCCTTGGTGCCGCAGTACCCTCATAGGAGGCCAAAACGGGTTTTAGCCTATGGGGGTTTAGTAGGGATTAGGGTTCCCATAATAGGGTTCATATTAAGGAATCCCTGCCCCAAGAATCTTAAACCACCCTTTTGGCCTCCCATCATACCCATCCTCTCCACCCACCCGGAAGCCTTTCAGCTCTTCAAGAGAAACCTCGCCGGTAAGAACCCTGAATGCCGAAATCCCAAAGCCTTAAGCCCCAAAACTTAAACATCAAACTTACCTAAACCCCCCAAAGTAGGCAAAATAATGGCCCAATACCTTCAAAAGGCTACTATTCTACATACTGTTGGGGTTCAGGTAAGCCTTAAATCCACAACACCTTACTGTAACTGGACCCCTAAAACCCAGCCCCCGAGCCCCTGAAGCTTCTTCAGCCCTCATGAACCTGCTATGACTCGCTTCGGTTCAATCCTTGTTTCACAAAAGCCCCTTAGCCCACATAATCACCCCAGAAACAAGCAAATTCAGGAACTAGTTTCAGAAACCACATAAGTAAAGCCTCCTAGAACCTCGAAATGAAGACACAATCACGAGAAACGCTTGTAAACCCCATGGGAAGCCATATGAACCCACAGCAAAACCATACTACAAGATCCTCTGAAGAGGGTCTTTATGACCTCGGACTTGCAGCTTAGGTTGTACAGCCTCGGATAAGTCTCTTTTGGTCTTGGGTTTTTGAACCGTAGGCTTCTAGATTTTTGAACCCTATGGGGTGTTGTATGCTCATACGGTTCCTAACGGCGGTTGTGGGGTTTCTCGAGGCTCTTTCTAAACCTTCAGCCCTAAACATTCAGTCCAAAGCCTTAAAGTCTTAAGCGCTAAGCCCCACCTGGACCCATAGAAAAACCCAGCTTGTCAAAACCATACCCTATCCCTCCAAGGACCTCATAGTTAGGGCCCTAGACCCCTTAAGGACCCCATAATAAGGTCGCTGGAGGGATAGGGATATCTAGACAGAAATCAGATGAAGGATCCTGAAAGGGTAGGTTAATTGCCCCAAACCTGGAACCCCTATACATCTCTGACAAGGGCCTGGGTCCCTGTTCTGGAACCCTACCGTACCCCTTAAAGGGGAGCCTATGATAGAAACCTGTACGGCTGATGGAATAAATCCTGCGTACCCCTAATAAGGAATATACCATGATTCCCATAGTGTAGGGTCCTGAAGGAAATGCAAGATTTAGATCATCAGCCGTAGTACCCCTTTACAGGAACCATTTGGGGGTTTCCGAGAATGAGGGGTACCTTATTTTGGGGTCCTTAAAAAAAAGGATCCTACCATTTAGGGTGCCATATTAGGGTCCCTATTTTCGGAAACTCCCAAACACTAAACCCTAAACCCTTAATAGAACCCTACAGATCCTTTAAACGGGCCCTTATGCAGGAACCCTAAGGGTCCCCTATTTTCGGAAACTCCCAAACACTAAACCCTAAACCCTTAGTAGAACCCAATAGATCCTTTAAAGGAGCCCTTATATGGCACCCTTTAAAGGAACCCCTAAGGGGTCCCCTATTTTCGGAAACTCCCATTTAGGAAGCTTTGTACTGAGGCTTTCTGGGCATCCCTTGGATGTGACCTTCAGAGACTGAGCTGCAGGTTTCTGGGGTTTAGGGATAATTACAGTAGAAGCAGGAAAGTTGGAACATCAGTATCCTCGTGCCCCTAAAGTAAAGTAGAGGGGGATCCAAGCAGTAATCCTCCTAAAGCCATGTTCCAACTTTCTGGCTTCTACTATAAGGGCTTCTGGGGTTCTAAGGGTTTTTTCGGGCTCCTTTAAAGGGTACTCTTAGGGTTTGTTTTAAGGGATGTATAGGTTTTAGGGTTGAGGGTGAAGGGTTTATAGGGTTTAGGGCTTCTGGTGTTTCGGATCTAGGGTTCGTTCTGCGTTCCAGATTTGAATTGGAGGATCTTGTATAGTTACCCTTAATGATAGCCCTAGTTACTAAGTCCCAGGGTCCTTTAAGGAGGGTTTATAGGTTTCAGGCTTCGCTTTGTCGGGCTTATGTGTTTTGTGGAATGTGTGGTTTCAGGCTTCAGGCTTTGAGGTTTGTGATGTAGTGGTGTTTGTGCCTTGTGAGGGTTCTTACAGGGCTTTTTGCAGGGCCTCGGATCATTTGATTGCTTAGAAGCTACAAAAGTATCAGTCCGTAAATAGTCAAAGGGGAAAAGGAGGGACCCCTACCCTATAATGGGCTATGTAATGGGTATGTAATAGTTCTGTTAAGGGTCTATACCTAGGGGTCCTTACGAGGGGTCCCTCCTTCTACCCTTGGACATAAGCCTACTATAGTACACCTATAAACACCCTTCCGGTCATCCGAGCCGCTTTATTGGGGCTTAAAGTTTTGTCTTAAGGTGTTAGGGCAGAAATAGTTTTAGTTCACCGGTTGAGGTTTTCAGGCATTGAGTTCATTTGATTGAGCAGTTTATATTTGAGTTGGCATCGCATCTGCCAATCAAGCTCCAGACTCCAGGACTCAGCCGCATTACAGTAGAAGCCAGAAAGTTGGAATATGATTATCGTAACCCCTTTTAAGGTAAATTATAGGGGATCCTACCATTAATCCATATTCCAACTTTCTGGAGTTCCCTTTATGTATGCAAACTGATGCAGGCATTTGGAGTTTGGAACTGGTCACGCATGTGAAACAGGTTAGTGCTCTTGTACTTCGGAAATGTATTTGGAAGCTTGTTGTTCTGAACATACTCGACAATGTACTAAGTGTATTTCGCTCAATGGAGCAGAAAACACATGCATTTAGCAACAGGAAAGAGGTGGGCAAACTCAACGCAGCATGCTCAGGGTTCAAAGGTCATGAATTTGGAGCGTAACTAGACAATCGGGATGCGCGGGTTTAGGGTTCAGAGTGTTTCCACATTCTTTTGGATTAAGGCCTCCTGCACATGTGGTTTGTCGCACGGTGCCCGATGCAGTTGCGAGTGGCAACCACTTGTCATGCCAAGTCGGTTTTTGCGGTATTGGACCGGGTTTAATGGTACACACTGGTACACACATGGCAAGTCACAGCAAAATCCAGAAAATCGGCTGGCGGTAGATCCATGCGCGAGAATTGGGGACGATATGGGAGGCAACATCATTGGCATCGAAGAGCTCTATGTCGAAATCGAAGAGCTTTAAAACAGTAAGCATTGTGGAATATTCGATGCTAGAATTCTTGTTGTCTTGATGTTTCAATACGTTTTCAAGCTCCAGACTGATAGGTCTTGCAATGGAGTCAGCCCGCAAACAGCCTAGGGTTCACCGACTTGACCGGCAAACCGCTGATACTCAAGTCGTTCAGCCTTTCCATCTACGACATGGACAGGCCCCAGACTTCAAGCATGTTTTTGAGGTCGGATTGCTTGCGCTGAACTTTTGGGTTTGGTGGCTACCAATCGTACTTGCCGTGGAGTAGTGTTGCCCTTCGATCCCTCCCTGGCCGCTTCTAGATTGTGCAGCTTCAGGTGACGTGAAGTAGGAGTTGCAGTCGGGAGTGTCCATTAGGGGTGTGCCCGTTATGAATGTTTTGAACCACATGGGTGAAACTACATCCACGTGGCCACAAGGCTTACATTGCCCTACCTAGCTCCATGAATCCTGCCCAGGGTGTGACAATTTGCAAGCGCTGCAAGCGGTAAGATCCATTAATGTAGGGCGCTGAAGCCGAATTTAAGCTCTTCCACCGCTTTGACAGGGACCAGAATCCCGGTGAAGGCCCGGCCCGGTTGCTTCAAAGCTTTGGCACGCATACATACACACGTACATCTTTCCATCCATCCATCCATCCGTCCGTCCGTCCGTCCATCCGTCCATCTGTCCATCCATCCGTCCATCCTTCAATCCATCCGTCCATCCATCCATCCAGCCGTCCGTCCATCCATCCATCTATCCATCCATCGGTGCATCCCTGCATCCTTGTATCCATGCTTCCCTGCATCCATGCATCGATATGTAAACGTTATCATGGAGATAGACTTGATAGTCCTTGCATCTGTTGTGTTTTCGCTATTAGTTACAGCGCTACCCCTGCTTCCATTTCATTTCCGTGTTAACGATTGTTGTTGTGTTCTTGTTCTGTTACGAAATAATCAGTTGTGCAGGAAGTTGTTATTGCCATTGTGCATTCAGGTGCACAAAAAGCTATGCGGAACGGGCAGGGGTTCTGGTGCTTTCTGGTTTGGAGCAGTTTCCTGTATTTTCGATGAGCTGTTGATGTTTCGTGGAGAATATTCTCAGGCTTGCAGCTACGTTTTCCACCATGATCGGATTCTTATATAGACCCTGTTCATGAAGCCGTGAGGCCTCCTTGCAAATCTTCCTCCGCCGCCGCAAAGCCATAAAAGCTCGCAGGCGTCGAAAACGTGACGCCTGTGACGACAGTCCACCGGGCCCCTTGTCCTCCAGTACGGCATGGGGGACTGCAGTGAGTGGGTTGAAAGTCGAGTAAATTTTAAAGCTCTCTTTTTGGGGGTTCAGGGCGTTGGGGTTAGGGTTCAGAATTAAGTCGTTTCTGGTTTGGGGTCGTTCGACTATTGGAGTGGGTTTGGCAAGTCAGGTGTAGGCTCGGGTGACAGGCTCAGCTTCAAAACTGACACAAATTTCATGCAGCGGTTCTGAGGTTGGGAGGCTTGAAACTTGGGCACTCCGAGGTGTAGGATGAGTAGGCAAGTGACGCAGATGCACTTCGGGCTTGTTGGAGTCCTCGGTTCTCATTGCAGGAGCCGCGATGTAGAAGCCAGTCTTCCGGGCACATGATTGAGGTTTGAGGATGTCCACGAGTATTGCCGCCACACTCGATGTTGATCAAAGCTCCTCGCAGCTAATAATCCTCCCAAGCCTCAACTTGTGAGCTGACTGAGTGGCGCGAAGGTGTATCGAACCAGCGATACTCTGGTCCAGGCCATGCTTTAGCGTGGGCTTGTGATCCTGAAGGTCTGCAAGTATTATCTGGTTTAGTGTTGACTTCGATGTTTCGGCAATCTTGTTGAGTGATTTGGGCCTGTGGTACAAGCGCCGTATTTGGTATGCATGAGGTGGTGTAGGAATTTGACATTGACAGGGAGGGGGCAGCATGAATGTCGTCGCTCTTGCTGCTGTGACCTCCATTGGATTCAGTATGCTGTACTGAAGACGCCATCACAGCACTTCAACCAGGAAACTGCAAGTTTAGCCAAACCTCAACTATGGGAAAGAAAACGAAAGTTACAGTCCCACTGTGGCGGAGAGGTTCAAAGCCAAGGGTTTGTCGATTTGTCGATAACGTCAAGGTGAGGATGCGAGGCTTGTGACCTAGGTTTTCGAAGATGTTGCAGTGGCTTCACTGCACCGAGTTGTTCAGATGCAGCAGACCAGTGTGAAAGTGAGAAGAGAAGTTTCTCTGGCTTAAGCTCAAGCTTTGTGTTTTGGGTTTCGGATTCTAAGGTTCAGCCCTTTCGGAACTGAATAGGGTGTAGGTGCAGGGTAGGTTCGGACTTCCACATCCAGGAGAACTCGGGCAGTTACCTCGGCACTGTGCCCGGAACCTACGACGACAACCCCGTGCAGGCAGCAGGGGTCCAACAAGGCAATCGAACCAGGGAGCTCAAGACCATCTTGGTTGAGAAATTAGCGACAGTACTGATTTCAATAATCATAATAGTAATAATGATAGTAGAGCAATAGTAAGAATCGTAGAAATGTGCGGCGCTATTTGTGAATCTTTACATTGCATCATAAGGATCCTTGTATTTGGGATTCTATCGTGTGAGAGTCTTTTTGAAACATCCCAATTGTGTCACAGTTAAAAAGCGTGGCTGGGGTTCCCCAGGCAACACTCTAGGGGTGTTGTTTTCTTCTTCACGTGCATGTCAACGGTTCATCCATCAGATCAGCACATTTCCAGCCTGGGTTTCTGTATTATCCGGGCTTGCACCCCTAAACCTTAAACCCTTCGCCCCTTCACCCTACCGGGTAAGATTCATGGTTTGAGGGTTCAAGGTACTGCGGGTCCTTCGAAACGCGAGTGACGATCAGTGATGCGGGTGTCTCGAAAGCTGCAGAGACTGAAGACTTGCATTCTGTAGAGCGCTGGATGGTTGGGCAGTGTTCTAGGGGGAGCAGCATGTTCAGTCTGTTTCTCTTGAGCAGACCTACTCGGATTTGCATCGGCCCCCTTACTTTCGGGAACTCCACAAAATAGGAGCCCTAAGCTTAAGCCCTAAACCCTAAGCCCCTAAAACCGGAGAGTGAGCTGCAGACTTGGCCATCTTCCCTCAAGCCTTAACCAACGAACCCCGAGTCTGAAACCCCCTAAGCCTTTTACTTGAAACATTATGTAATATGGGGGGACAAAAGATTTTACCAATACTGTTTTGGGGGGTTCCGTATTATAAGTATAGTATAATATACCCCAAAACCCTCGCTTCAGATATATGTCCGCTTCACCCCAGAACCCTATTCTAATTATTGAGGCCTCTATATGGGAGTTTCCGAAAATAGGGGACAGTAATATAGTACCTTAAATAGTAGGATCCTTATTATAAGGACCACCCAAATAAGGCACCCCTAATTTGCGGAAACTCCCATATTTATATTAAAGCATTAATCGGTTGCCTCTGTGGAAGACTGAGCTCCCCATTTGCAGGTAGTGGCCCAGTCCAAAGCAGACGAGGATAAGTGCCTTGCTGCCTTACTTCAATCCCTTTGTTTCCTATCGTGTCCTTAGGAATTATTTTTATTTTTGCTCATATAAAACCCAAGAGAATATTAAGAATAATGTTTGTATTCTGGTTCTCAGGGGCGTATAGTTTCTGGTGGGGGCGCGAAGAGGTTAGGTTGTGTTTACCCTAAACCGGTTTCGCCATGGGCCGGTGAGTCGGGGTCAGAGTCGCGAGATGCAGTTGGGTCAGGGCTCTCAGCTGCGTCGTTGCCCCTGGCTGATCAGACGACAGGAGCATTTTTTGTTGCCCCTAATGCCGAAAACCTATCCCCAACCCTGAACCCACACTCAAGCTGCAAACCAATTGCAGACGGATTTGCAATAGTGTGCTAGGCAGTTCAGTGGGCAGTGCTTCACATGCTCTGAGGTGCCTGGTCCTGGAGTACAAGGACGTGCACACAGCCACTCGCATCAAGGATGTACACTGACTCTGTAGCTACACTGTAGCAGTACAGCAGTAAGCAATTTTGAACCGACACGGTTCGGGACTGTCGGGATCCCTTGTTAAGTACCCGAGGGGCCGACAGCCAGCTCTCCACAGAGCCGTAAAGCCCCAAACCCCTTTCAGTTTGTGTCGGTACAGGACTCCGCTGCTAGATTCGGATCCCTTAGGGAGCTTCTGAACCGAACTTAGGGACACCCCTCCGCCGCCGAACCGCCGGACCGCCACGGTTCACAAAAAGAGCATGAGCCGGAAACAGGATACTTACAATGCAGTACCCTGCAAAGGGTCATAACACCTGTTCTTCAACATGTTGAACCCTCACCCTATCCCCAAAGTTTCCTAAAATCTAAACCCCACCACCCCAAAGACAAACCTAGAGCCCTCAGCCTTAAAAACATCCTAAAACCCTAAACCCGTCAATCCGTAAACCCTAAAAGCTTCCCGAAGGATCAGGGGACCCGGCGCGGCTGAGGTCCGCATCACCTTCGACTCTACCAAGGGCTTCGCGGCGCGAACCACGCAGCAGCCGGGCGATATCAAGGATTCGAAGAGTTTAGAGTTGGTGGTTTAGGGTTTACAGTTGTTGGTTTAGGGTTTAAATATTGATGGTTTAGGATTTAGGGCTCAGGGGTTGGAGTCTGGGAGTTCTAGAGTTTAGGAGTAGGCAGCAAGGACTCCTACAATCAAAGGGGAAAAGGAGGGACACTTAATGGGGACCCCTACCCTATCATGGGCTATATAATGGGTATATAATAGCTATATTAAGGGTATACACCTAGGGGTCCTTATTAAGGGTCCCTCCTTTTACCCTTGGATGCAACTTCGATTCAGGGAGCATCTCTCGAAGGTTGGAAGGTACGAAATTAGGGGGGCTCGGAAGCAATAAGTAACATAGCGGCCTTAATTGTTGGAATAGGGTTCCGGGACCCATCATCGTATAGTTATAGTAAAGAACCGCCCAAATATTAATTATTAGTATAGATGCCGCTGATTAAGGTCCCGATATTCAGAGGATCCCCTTGTGGCCGTTCTGTGTCTGCATAAGTAGAGTAGAACATACCCCAAACCCCATTCCAATCATTGACGCCGCTATATTAGCCCCATGCACTGTAAAGATCGGAAGTACGGGCACTCCGTGGCTCTTGGTTAAAGTTTCAGGAGCTGGAGTTTTCATCAGGAATTCAGGGGCGAGGGTTTAGTGCCCAGAAGCATCTGGAATGACAAGAGCCGCACTCATGAAGCGTAATTATACCTAAACTCCCCAAAGTAGGTAAAATAATGGCCCAATACCCATACAAGGCTATTATTCTACATACTTTTGGGGTCCGGGTACTACTTGCCTTCACCATTGGCTCGCTTCCAAATCCGAGATGTCGCGTGCAGAGTTATGCCGATCCCTGAAGAAACTAAGTCCAAAGACGAGTTAAGGCTTGCAAGACCAAACTCAACGCATCCTGTGCCAAACAGTACTCCCTAAACCCTAAACCGTGGGTTTTCGTACTCGTCGGCGGCAAGGTTTTGCTTGCTCAACGCCCTGAAGTGCAAGGCGGTGGGCTTACATCAGACTCAGAATCAGGGTTTAGGGTTTGCTTACATCAGAGTGCCTGGGGTGACTTCCGTTGTTGGGACAGTTTTCTCGACCAAACGGATGGGAGATCTGGAACGTAATGGACTCTAAACCCTAAACCCTCAACCCTAAACCCCTAATGGATTCTGACTGGAGGGCCGCCCAGTGCGCAAAGCCACAGAGAAATTGCCTCCTTTGCATCCTCAACCTGCATTTGGGGCAGCGAGCTTCCTAAGCTCTAGAAATCCCCGGGGTAGTATGTCCGCATTACTCTAGTATCCTTAGGATTTGTTTTAGTGTTTGCTCATGTAAAACACAAGAGAATATTGACAACACTATTTGTATTATGGTTCTGGTTCTAAGGGGAGTATAGATTAGCCTTGAAGTGCCTAAGTGGGAACCCCAAGAAGGCTGGTGAGGTGAGTGAAGCTTGCAGCTATTCAGGAAAACACGTTGGTAGCGGTGACACTTCCCTTGTAGTAGAGTAAGTAGCCTGTAACCTGTTTGGTGTGTATTATATTTGTTATAATCCCTGATTATACAGTGCTCCACCATGATACTGGACAACGACGGCTCTTGGCTGAGAATAACCCGAAGCTCTCAATCAGAAGATCTGCCGTCGCCAGTCTAGCAATCGTTACGCACACCTCCGGGAGTCGCTGTGCTCTGCAACTTCACAGCAGATCCAGTCAGTTAATGCATACCTTGCGAGCAGAAGGCTGCAAATCCGGTAAGCTCACCACGTCTCGTCTTATCGACTTCTCGCAACAAACCTCGTCTTTCACTTCAAGAACGTCGACCCCTATGCTTCCCAGCAAGGTCAAACCTGACAAGCCTTCCTCCTGGCACGTTCCTGTTGGGAGCGGCTTCGTGCCGGTCCTCGAAGAGCAGGAGGGCTTTTCTCATAGTAATAGCAATAGGGAGTGTTTGCCAAGTTCTTGTGCCAGCTTTGGAAAGCTTTTGCGAGGGAGTTCAGCAAGACAGCTGTCAAAGGATTCAGTGCGCTCATGCCTGGTGTCCCACGCCCGTCAAAGAACGAAGCTTTGGAACCAACCGCACTCAACAAGCGGAGAAGGTACAATCATGCAGAAAGCTTACCTGTGGTTTTCTTCATCAAGCTGCAATCTCTATTATCCTGCATATCCCAGCCATTCCCTGCCCGAAATCATTGGCCTGGAGGTTCGAGCTTGCCATGCAGACAGTGCTGTTCCGCAGCCCATAATGCCTTTCATTGCGAATCTACAAAGCCTTCCGCCCTAAATCTGACCCTCGACCTTCTGCCGATGTCCCAGAATCCTTCACGCTAAACATGGAAGGCCCCGCTGAAAGTTCGAAATGGTCAAGCTTTCAACTTCTCCATCCCGCGGAGGAGGCCGTTTGGGTTCCGAGGGTTGCAATGTGCCCCAAGCCCTTCTGGCCTGCAACTGCAAGTCCGAAATCCTAAAGCCTGCCAGCTTCATCGGCTTCGGGGGAACTTTTTGTTGTGTGTGCGCGGGTATGTGCATGTGTGTGTGTGTGTGTGTCTCCTTCTTTTCTGTTTTTTGAGGGGGGATAGTGACAGTCTGCAGATTGCCAGCCGAGGTGTTAATTATCAGGCAGGCACATCAAAGCAGCAAAGTGGTCGGTGTGTGATTCTAACGCCAGCCCTTTTTCTACATGCGTCAGGTCTCATACCCAACTAACTCCGCAGTCCTATCATCTCACACCCCCTGGGAGTTGATGTAGGTCCCAAGCCCAGACTCCTTTGCTTGCCTGCTTGTCTGCTGGAGATGGGGCGCCTAATCCAAAGAAGACTCTAGCCAGCTTAAAGGGCTCTGCAGTAGGGTCTTCTGCAAGAGGTCGTATTATTACTATTATTATTATTATTATTATTTTTATATTATTATTATTATTATTATTATTATTATTATTGATTATTATTTATTATTATTAGTATTATTTATTAGTATTAGTATTAGTATTAGTATTAGTATTAGTATTAGTATTAGTATTAGTATTAGTATTAGTATTAGTATTAGTATTAGTATTAGTATAGAGTATTAGTATTAGTATTAGTATTAGTATTAGTATTAGTATTAGTATTAGTATTAGTATTAGTATTAGTATTAGTATTAGTATTAGTATTAGTATTAGTATTAGTATTAGTATTAGTATTAGTATTAGTATTAGTATTATTAATATTGTTATTATTGTTATTATTATTATTATTACTACTACCAATATTACCATTACTACTGTTATTATTATTACTACTATTATTATTGTTATTATTACTATTATTAATATATTACTATTGTTTACATGTTGTGGTTGTATACTGGGCTTAGGGTTTCAGATGTTGCAGATCACAGCATCGGAGGTTCGAGGATGCGTCTGGGCTCACGTTTACGGCCTCTTTGGTCGATGGCCGGAGCCTCTGAGCATGTGGGGCCTACTACCTAGACCCCCGGAGGATCCAAAAAGTAGATCCCTTAATGGGGGCTCCTATAAACTGCCCTTAGTAGTATAGGGTCCCAAGTTAGGGGATCTACTTTCTAGATCCTCTCGGTGGTCTGGGTATAGAGGCCTAAATTTTAGATATTAACCTAAACTGTGGGTTTCTTATTGTATTTATAGTATATTGGGCCCCAAAACCCTTGTCTAATCATTACGGCCCCCTATATTAGGGACTTCCCCCTAAATCCTTGTGACCACAAGCGGAATCAAGTTTCAGAGCTCCGGGTTTCCTGCCGCAGCAGTAGAACCTTCCTTGCTTTCTTCTTGAAAGAAAATGGGCTGTGCGTATCAGGAGTCCCCATAACTTAACCAATGCCGCAGCCGATGCCGCATGAATTCAGAGTTGGATGCTGCAACCCGCTAATGCTAAAGCCTAAACACTGAAACCCAAAGCCCTGGGGAGTCGTAAGTTACTCGCTAGTCTTTTCAGTGCTTGTCGAAGCTGACAAGCTGCTCGCTCAACAGGGCTTTCGGAGCTGTCTGCTGTAACGAAAGGGAGCTTGCAAAAAAGACCTAAACCCCAAACCTAAGCCGTACCGTCCAGTCCCGCAGCGAATCCTTCAATCCCAGCTCTATCCTGGGATTCCCAAAGTCCCAAATGGTCCAAGTACCAATATACCCATAGGCCACAAAGTTGTTCCTTTTGGGGATTTCCTCATAGGATTCTAAATATGAACCCCAAAAAGGAACTACTATGGAGCCTTTAGGTAGTAGCACGGTTTAGGGTTTATGGCTTTGGGTAACTGAGTAGGCTCTTGGTAGATACTTGGTCCCCAACAGTGTATACTATGCTGTTGCTTGCACCCTTTGAGGTCGATCGGCGATCGGTGTCAAATCCCACACCTACCGTTGCAAGACTATCCGAGGGATGCACAGTTTCTTTTCGATTGCCCCAGCCATTGGAAGCATTGCCTTTTAGTCCAAATCATCTCACCTCAAACAGCTCCCTCGCAAGCTCCAGTGATACATATCCACGCCCAGATCAGCCGCTCCCCGGGTGGCTGCACTTCGATGCAGCCACGCTTAGCCTAGCCGGGCGGCCCTCTCAGGCAGGCCCTACTTGTTTTTTGGGCTTGGCTTTGTCCTAGACCCCAAACTACCTTCCAGTATATCCCAAACACTCAATATCAAGGACCATAAGGGCTGTATTGAAGGGCCATTGGGGGGTCCTGGTTGTCAGGGTTTGGACTATGGGCTTCGGGCTTCAGCAGTTTAAGGTTTGGGGTCAACCTTTTTTTGAAGCTGTAGAGTTCGGGGGTTGAGCAATTTCCTGTAGATGCGGCGAACATGTCTTAGACATGTGTCTCAGAAATAGTGAGTGCTTGTGATTGAATGCTTGGAAAGCTTTCCGAGGACCCAAGCCCCTTAACTAAATTTCGTTCGCCTGTAGAAATTTGCTGAAGGAAACTGTCGAAATGAGCTGCTTCACTCTAAGCCGACGCAGCAAGTTCAAGTCTAGTTGGGGCCTAGCCTGATGGCACATGCTGTGTTCTGTCCAATTTCAGCACACGTATGGCAACCACCGCCAATGGCCAAAAAGCATCCGGGAAATCCTGTAATTAGCCGTAATGGGCCGCAGCTGGAATGCTGCAAAGTCAGGAAAGCCGTAAGCCTCATTTGTGGCTCCGGAGCGACGCTCATGCTAATTGTATTCAGAATGCGCATAATACGTTCAATACTCAATACTACAAATAATGATTCTGATAACCATAATCAGTTGAGAAACCCAGCGCCGCCGCCCCCTTTCGCAAGGCTTTCCCGGGCGACGTTGATGTCAAGGCCTTTTCGAGTATGTCTCCCGAAGTGGCACTACAGGGCTTGGGGCTTAAAGGGTTTACGGTTTCGGGATTATATGGTGCCTAAAGAATTACCAATAATTACTATTCTGCAGGGGGTCCAAGTTTTGATTATAGTATCATGGGGTTTCAAAACCCTACTCTACTTAGTAAGGCCCCCATATTATGCGGTTTATAGGGTTCAGAGCATTAGCCCTCGGAGTTTATAGGGTTGAGGGTTTTAGTAGGTGTGGGTACCTTCGAGCTATTCGAGCACTACCTTAACCTGCCAAGACCTACCTTTTTTGTAGGGTCCATAAGAAAACCCATATTAGCACTTATAATAAGAAACTACAAACATGTAGGGGTTGGTAGGTTAAGGTAGGTGTTGTAGTTGTGGCAGACACTCGCGGTTTAGGGTTCAGGGTTTGATCCTGCAGCCTGCAGATCACCGCCGAAGATGTCGTGGGCCTGAAGACGGACATGATCTTGCCAGTCGAGGCCAGTTGTCCATCAAACCCTAAACCCCAAACCCCTAAACCCTAAACCCAGGCCTCATGCTGTGGTCTCACCATGGTCCGTATACGGGTCATTACAAGGGTCACTGCAAGGTTTATTCCCGAAACTCTAAACCCTCATGGGCGGAACGATTTTCGGAAGGTCCGTTGTTGATCCGAGAAGTGCAGCACGGGTACTCGTTTTCGCAGATGTGCTGTGAATATACCGAAACAAGCCTAAAAGGAATCCATAATTGTCGGCCAACCGCCCAAGAAACCTTCTGCAATGCACCTGCAGACCCTAAACCACAACCCTTGCCCTGAGAGGGGTCGAGGATTCAGGGTCATAGTTTAGGGTTTGGGACTTTGGGGTCTTCTCCCAAGGAACATTGACAAGATGGCATGGCAAGCATCGTAAGGCCACTGTCCCTTGATATGGAAGCCGCATTCCTTGCGGCTCCCTGTTCGAAGTACACCAGTATTTACCTCAAAGCCCTCTTCAAACGAGTAAGGCATCTATATTAGGCACAGGAGTTGGTTCAGCAGGGCCCAAATTCAACCGTCATAACGTTAGACACCATACGGTAGAAACAAATGTACATATATAATATATTTTTATATAGATACATATCTAACATATATGTATATATGTAGTCGACCAAACTCAACCATCATCATAATGTTAGACACATAATATACCATATATCACATAAATATGTATATATATATATATACACCTATAATTATGTGGTACATGTATGTAATTGTACATTTCTACATACATATATGTGTATAGTTATGTGTGTATATATATATATATATATATATGTGCATATGCATATATCTACGTAGACGACCAAGCCGTCTCCTTGAAGGTCGGCGGGGGCCCGGTCGTCAAACGCCCGGTGCAGCCGCAACACCTTTTTGTGGGCAGGCTCCTTAGGGTTTGGGTGTTTAGGGTCTTAGGGTTTAGGGTTTTAGGGTTGTGGGTTTAGGGCTTGGGGATTTAGGGTTTAGGCTTCAGACTTAGGGGATTTAGGGTCTTAGAGTTTAGGGTTTTGGGGTTTAGGGTTTAGGCTTCAGACTTAGGGGATTTAAGGTTTAGGGTTTAGGGTTTTAGGGTTTCAGGGTTTTGGGGTTTAGGGTTTAGGTGGTTAGGGTTTAGGGTTCAGACTTTGATTTTGGAATTTCGGGCTTTGGGTATAGGGTGGCTTCTAAGTTCTAGGCTACAGGCCGCGTGGCTCGAATGGTTGATGACTTCACGGATGTACTGCACTCTGTGAACAGTAATTCCCCCGGACTGAGGGATTCGAAACCTTTTGGTACCCTAAGCCCTAAACCCTAGGTGCACCCCAAACCGGTAGTTTTGGAGGCATGGGTTCTGCGATCTGATGACTACCTGTGGGCCTTCGAATCGAAGACGTCGCCTAACAGGCCTAACAGTGGCTGCAAAGTGATGCCTCAACATAGTTCCCGAATAAGGTGGCATCCT